CCTTAATTCTTGAAAATCTGCAGCACCATTTTGTAGAAAAAATGTGTACACAAATGTTGAAAAAGTGTACACTCTCATCCTATAAATAGAGGAACAAATGATCAGAGAAGGACACAACAAAAGAAAACATAACAAGAGAGATAGAGAGAAAAAGAGTAGAGAGAGTGTATTCATACGGGCTTGTGTGAGTTGTAACATTCGGTTTATCCTCTTCTTCTAGTTTATTCTCCTGGCTTGGTTCGCCCCCCAGACGCAGGATTTAATCCGAACTGGGTTAACAAATCTTCGTGTCTTTTATTGATTTTACGTTGGTGTATTATTATTATTCCATCTTATCCGACCTTATTTCCCAACAACTGGTATCAGAGCCAGGAGGTTGGAGATAAGATGGAGGGAAAGATTCCAGTCGAACGGTTCAATGGTTCCGACTTTGGATTCTGGCGAATGCAAATGGAGGCTTACCTGTACGGGAAGGACCTCTACGCACCTCTTGGGGAAAAGCCCGAGAAGATAAGCGATGATGAATGGAAGGTGCTCGATCGGAAGGCGATGAGCGCTATAATTCTTTTGCTCTCTCGGAACGTTGCCTACCATGTGAAGGGAGCAAAAAGCACGAAGGAGGTCTTGCAGACCCTCGCCGACATGTATGAAAAACCATCAGCAATAAAAAAGGTGATGCTGATGAAAAAACTGTTCAAATTGCAAATGGAGGAGCGAAAGTCAGTGGCTGATCATCTTAACGATTTCAACCAACTCACGACGCAGCTGGCATCAGTGAATATTTCGTTTGATGATGAGGTAAAAGCCTTAATCTTGCTCTCATCATTGTCGGACAGTTGGGACGTAGTTATTACTTCGGTGAGCACTTCTTCTGGCAAGGAGAAGATGAAGTTCGACAACATAAGAGACATGATGTTGAACAAGGAGACCCGCAGAAATCAGGCGGGTGGGTCGTCTGGCTCAGCCCTACATACAGAGTCCAGAGGGAGACCCGAAATACGCTGGAACATTCGTGGGAGGTCAAAATCCAGGGGAAGTAATAAAGGCAAGAAAGAGATGGTGTGTTGGAACTGCGAGAAACCTGGGCATATGAAAAGCGAATGCCGGGCACCAAGGAAGGACAAAGAAGGCAGGACAGCCAATGCCACGACGGAGGACACGGTGGATGCACTCTTGTTGAGTGTGAGAAGCTCGCTCGATGACTGGATTGTGGACTCAGGGGCCTCGTTTCACTCTTGCAGTAGCAGAGACATCATGGAGCCATACACTGCAGGTGATTTTGGCGTGGTATATCTTGCAGACAAAAAACCCCTAAAAATTATAGGGAAGGGAGATGTGCAAATCAAGTTAGCAAATGGGTCATGCTGGACCCTACGGGATGTGAGGCACATTCCAGGACTGAAGAGGAATCTCATCTCAGTTGGACAGCTGGACAATGACGGCTTCCACACAATTTTTGGAGACGGAAAGTGGAAGGTCAGCCGAGGAGCTATGACTTTGGCAAGAGGGCTGAAGTCAGGAACGCTTTACACAGCGAGTGGATCTAGCTCAAACATTCTCCTGGCAGAAGCTGTCTCACAATCGCACTTGTGGCACAGTCGCTTGGGCCACATGAGCGAGAAAGGAATGAAGGTACTAAAGTCGAGAGGACTTTTGCCCGAGTTGGAGTCAGTAAACGTGGGTCTTTGCGAGCAATGCTTGCTTGGAAAGCAGAAGCGAGTGAGCTTCATAACCACCGGGAGAGCTCCAAAGACAGAAAAACTGGAGCTCGTGCACACTGACTTATGGGGGCCATCACCGGTGACATCTCTTGGAGGACCGATGTACTACATGACGTTCATCGATGACTGCACAAGAAAGGTATGGGTGTACTTTCTGAAAAGAAAATCCGAAGCCTTTGATGCTTTCAGGAGATGGAGAGCACTCGTGGAGAAAGAGACAGGTCTGGAAGTGAAATGTCTCAGATCCGACAACGGTGGCGAGTACAACAGTGAAGCCATCAAGGAATACTGCGCTGATCATGGGATCCGGATGCAGAAGATGGTCCCAGGGACACCTCAACAAAATGGCATTGCGGAGAGGATGAACAGGACACTGAATGAGCGTGCGAGATGCATGCGATTGAAGAGTGGACTGCCCAAGATGTTTTGGGCAGAAGCAGTCAGCACGGCCGCTTTTTTTATCAACCGAGGGCCTTCTGTCCCACTGAACAACAAAATTTCAGAAGAGGTCTGGGGTGGTAAGGAAGTTGATCTCTCTTTCTTACGTACCTTTGGTTGTTTGGCTTACGTTTTGAACGACGACCGGACAAAGCTGGATGCTAAGTCCGTCAAATTTACATTCATTGGATATGGGACTGACGAATTTGGGTATAGATTTTGGGATGATCAAAATCGGAAAATTATTCGCAGTCGTAATGTGGTGTTCAATGAAGGCATAATGTACAAGGACAGGAAGAAATACCCGGACGATGACAAGACCATGCAGGAGTATGTTGGTCTCGATATTTCAAATACCGGAATCATGAGACCAGCAGATTCAGTGGGAGCTCAGATAGATGAGATCGAGCGTACAGAAGAAGAGGCAGAACCAGAATCGGATGAACCGATTGCTGAGAGCAGCACGCCTCTGGCACTGGGCCGAGAACCGAGGATGAGAAGGGCCCCGGATAGGTACTCCCCTTCTCTTTATTACCTACTTTTATCTGATTCTGGGGAACCCGACTGTTATGCAGAGGCAGTTAAAGATGCCCACAAGAGCAAGTGGGAGCTTGCGATGGACGACGAGATGAACTCGTTGAAGAAAAACCACACATGGGATTTGTGTGATCTCCCACAAGGAAAAAAGGCGCTTCAAAACAGATGGGTCTATCGGGTCAAGGAGGAATCCGATGGAACAAAATGGTACAAGGCCAGACTTGTAGTAAAAGGATTCCAACAGAGATACGATATTGACTTTACCGATGTTTTTACACCTGTTGTTAAGTTAACCACTATTCGTCTAGTGTTAAGCATGGTAGCAGCGGAAAACTTGGAGTTGCAACAGTTAGATGTGAAGACGGCCTTTCTGCATGGGGATCTCGAGGAAGAAATTTACATGGTGCAACCAGAGGGGTATAGAGGAAATGATCAGCAAGTCTGTCGCCTAAAGAAGAGCTTGTACGGACTGAAACAGGCTCCTCGACAGTGGTATCGAAAGTTCGATAATTTCATGCTGGAGATTGGATACTCCAGGTGTAATGCTGATCATTGTTGCTATGTGAAAAGGTTCGGTAACTCTTTCATTATTTTACTGCTATATGTGGATGACATGCTGATAGCAGGATCAGATGTCAAGGAGATCGAGAGGCTCAAGGGTCAGCTATCAAGGAGATTTGATATGAAGGATCTAGGAGAAGCGAGACAGATACTAGGCATGACAATCACGAGGGACAGGAATGCTGGTAAACTTTGGCTTTCTCAATCTGATTATATTGAGAAGGTGTTGTGCAGATTCAAAATGGATACTGCAAAGCCGGTTGGAGTACCATTGGGAAGCCAGATCAAGTTGTCCAACAAGGATTCGCCCAAGGATGACTCTGAAAAAGAAAGGATGAGAGTTACGCCATATGCTTCAGCCATCGGGAGCCTAATGTACGCTATGGTCTGCACCCGGCCAGACATAGCACATGTAGTGGGAGTAGTCAGCCGGTTCATGAGCAATCCTGGAGTGATGCACTAGGAGGCGATAAAGTGGATCCTTAGGTACCTGAGAGGTACTAAGGACCGGGCATTGGTTTTTGGCAGGGGTACCATTACCCTGTCTGGGTTTGTCGATGCTGATTTTGCAGGAAGTGATCTTGACAAGAGGAGGAGTACTACTGGGTACGTGTTCACTTACGGCGGGACGGCCGTATCCTGGATCTCAAAGCTGCAGAAGATAGTTACATTGTCAACAACGGAAGCTGAGTACGTGGCAGTGACGGAGGCAGCCAAGGAGCTCGTTTGGCTGCAAAACTTCCTGAATGAACTTGGGAGACCTCAAGAGGATGTGGCTCTATACAGCGATAGCCAGAGTGCAATCCATCTGGCAAAGAATCCCGCGTTTCACTCGCGAATGAAGCACATCGAGGTTAAGTATCATTTCATCTGGCAACTTCTAGAGAAGAAGATGTTGCAGCTAAAAAAGATTCGGGGAGATAGGAATCCTGCAGACATGTTGACCAAGGCGGTAACTTTGGAAAAGTGGAAGCTGTGTACAGCTTCGACCGGCCTTGATGATTAAAACAGGCAGACCCGGCAAAACCAGGAGCAGAGATAAACATGTTAATCATTGAGGTGTGAGGACAGATTGAAATCAGTCCTCAAGTGGGAGATTGTTGAGTCAAAAGAGGGGTTGCGCCCACTTTCTTTGAGCAGCCAAAGAAGAAAAAAAAGAAAAGGCAAAATTGCATTTTATGCCCCGTAACTAGGAGTGTGTGACAAATGTGGACAACTTCTTTTTGGTTTGGCAAAAGTGCCCTGAAACTTGTTAAAACCCGAAATTCGTACCCAATTTGGGCACAAATTTCAAATTTTTACAAGTTACTGTCCTGTTTTGTCACACGGAAAACCGGTCAAATCCGGTAAATTGTAGGTACATGGGCACAAATTTCGGGTTTTAACAAGTTTTGGGGCACTTTTGCCAAACCAAAAAGAAACTGTCCACATTTGCCACACACGTATAGTTACAGGGCACAAAATGCAATTTTGCCAAAAAAAAAAACAGCAGCCTTAATTCTTGAAAATCTGCAGCACCATTTTGTAGAAAAAATGTGTACACAAATGTTGAAAAAGTGTACACTCTCATCCTATAAATAGAGGAACAAATGATCAAAGAAAGACACAACAAAAGAAAACATAACAAGAGAGATAGAGAGAAAAAGAATAGAGAGAGAGAGTGTATTCATATGGGCTTGTGTGAGTTGTAACATTCGGTTTATCCTCTTCTTCTAGTTTATTCTCCTGGCTTGGTTCGCCCCCAGACGTAGAATTTAATCCGAACTGGGTTAACAAATCTTCGTGTCTTTTATTGATTTTACGTTGGTGTATTATTATTATTCTATCTTATCCGACCTTATTTCCCAAACATTTTCTTGTCAACAATATTCGTTCAAAATATATCATTTTCCCCATAGTTATCAATAATAATTATTAAGTTTGACATTAGTCTGACATATTATTCTTCCCTTACATATTCTTTTTTTTTTTTTT